AAGCTTGAGTCTGTTAGACTCCCACGTCCATGTCCTTTGTTAGCCACCCAAAGCTGAACAACGCCCACAGCCATGGTCTGCAAGTCGTTTTCCACGAACGTGACACTTCTGCCTCGGGTGCTGCCTGGGGTATGGCTGGCTTCGGAGCAGGAAAGAGGGAGGTGGAATTCTTAGATCTAGCTATGCCTCTGTTCAAAAGCAACCTGTTCTCCCTGCACATCCTATTGTGAGTCAAACTGACCCAGGAAAAGCTGAGCTTTCCCTTAGAACAGTCGAACATTTATGTCTGAATGCAAATGGAAAGTTACTCTTGAAGAATCAATTAGAAAGCAATTAATTTAAAAATGTTGGATAGGAATAAAATGAGTCAGCCACCAAAATATAAAATAGAAGAGTACCAGAAATGCACTTAAAATTATTTTGGCCGGAATTCACATTCCATGCGTCCAGACGGATTTGTTAGCTATAGGGCCCTGAGACACAGCGCTTGTTTGGGGAGGCAGGACGAGGGCAGATTTCCATCAAAGAAAATATTGTACACATGTTATTTGCTTCTGCAAAGGCGTTTTTTTTTGGTGGGCTCATTAATCGCTGTGGCATGGTCACAATTACACAGGTCCAGAGAGCAAGTGCTTTGGAAAGCTATGAACAGATTAGCTCTGCTCCCAGACGCTGACTTCTGATGCGGCTACTCCTCGTAAAACTCTGGTTTGAATGTCAGTGGTTCAGGGTCACTTTGCTCTGTCAACCTTGTGTTTTCCAAATGAGAACTCTTCCAGTGAACCTATAATTCCCCAGAAGGTGAAATGAATCTTTTCCAAAATATATAGTATACAGAAAGCTTCCTGGGGTTAATAGTTAGCTCATTGTATAAACCTAGATGGTGTAGGGAGGCATCCATAAGTTCTTTCAACTATATATAAGCCAATTTTATAATCATGGAACTTTTTAAGCTTTCCCATAATTGTCATTGATTCCATCTGTTCCTGATAGGACCTTACATTGACAGACCAGCAAACGGTTTACAATATATTGTCACACCCATTATTCCATTTGATTCTCCATCCACCCTGTAAACTAGCGAGGCCCATATTAATCCAGTTTTATTTGCATGATGAAAGAGACACTCCAAGATGTTGACTTGACCAGGTTCTTATAGCAAAGTGCAGAATCATGGCATTTCTCACACGCGCCCTCTTCTAGACCTAACATGCCCAGTGATTGGGCATAGGTGTATTTGCCTGTATGACGGTTCACTCCTAATATTTGCAGGGCCAGGGAAGAGTGCAAACAGTGGTCCACATCCCATATATCCAAAGAGTTGAAAGTTATACATCAAGTTAATGACGTAGTCATGTTCTAGCATCTTTGCTTGATAAATATGCCTTCAAAATAAATTTGAAAAAAAAAACCAAAGAGTTTTGGGATTCCTCAGAGGTCCATGTGGAAGTACTGCCCCATGCCCACAGCCTAGAGCCCAGCCCTACTTCACTTCCTACCTGCAGCTCCTTTACAAGAGGAGCTGTGAGTGTGTTTACATGAAGGTTTACATGCAGCACAACAAAGCTCCCTCCAAGGCTCCCTCCTGCCCTCACAGCTCAAGTTTGGTTTCCCTTCAGGCCTGGCAAGAAGATGGACGTGGGAAAGAGGTTTGTGTGTGTCTTTAAAGCAGGCTCAGAGCATTTTGCAGGCACTTCTGGGGTCTTGGCTACCCAAAGCATGATCTAGACCAAGAGGGCACAAGCCTCTCGCCCTGCAAATCCTGGCTCCATGGAGTCGGGGAGGGCAGGGCCAGAGGAGACTCTGAGGACCCTGTAAAGTGCAAGCCTTTTGCCCAGGTCTGAGGGTGGTACCACCTGTAGGACAGAATGGACGATAGGGACATGTTCTGATTTCAGACAAAAAATCTGATAATAGAACGGTGGCACAGTTTTATTAATAAACCGTTGAACACTCTCGAAGCTTCCTGAGCCCCAGTCCAACTTGTTTACCTCTTTTGAATCAGTCTGTTAATCTTTTGAATTAGTTTGATCAGTTACCTAACTTATAATTTGCAAATAGTCTACCAACCTATTCCTTTTGTTTGTTTGTCAGATTTACATTCCCCTGCAATCTCCATCCAGAGAGATGCGTGATTGAATGAAGTCAGTGGTTCTTCACTATGTCACCAGGATAATCCTCTTCCCCCATGAGAGGGTTTGGTGTCTTGGTTTTATAGGAAGTTAAAACCAAAGCAGCAAACTAATTGCAGTATTTCTACATCTGTCTGTATATAGAAGCTTTTAGTCTGCATGCCTGTGCTGCACAGCTGTTAAATTGGGTTCTCTATTCACATTTGCCGAGCTGAGAGAGGCTGGGTGCTAATCTCAGAGCACCTTCCACCCCTTAAAACACACACCTATATGTTAAGTTCTATTATTATTTTGTGTAAACAGAGGTAAGAGTATATATTTAGGATTTAGAGACTCTAAACTCACAAAAATAAAGGAAAATAACTTTTATTAAGTATATCAATATCGTCATGTTTCTGTTTTTCTTTCTGAAATTCTGGTCTATTTGTTGTTACAAACTTACCTTCTCACCCTTGTACCCAGGAATTCCCTAATTAAAAAAATAAAAAAAAAAAGGTATTAGAAGGCATAGTTGGAGGAAATATTTGATGTTTTTCACTTGTAACATATAACAAAAACATATCTGTACAGCCTTGGAAAATAAGACCATATATACGTAGGCTATTTCACTGTGCTTTGAATTTAGGGAATGTGTATTTACTAGGGAGAAGTAAAGAACCTATTTTTCACTTTATTACATTTTATTCCAGGTATATTTTTCAAACCTACTTTCTTATCCTTTGGCCTGAAGCTGAAGGAGAAACCGACCATACACTGAAACTCATTGTAGAAGCGAAGACCTATCACGCCCCTTTCAAAATTGTTATAGTGACTTTTAAATGATGAACTATCACAGCTGAGAATGTTTCACAGAGACGGGTAGAGAAATTGGCTTTGAAAATGAGCTACGATAATGGCCTTTAAGATGCACGTAAATATTTATATCCATTATGGTCCTCCTTTCAAATCTGGTCTGGAATAAAAACATCAAGGAAATGAATGGTTCCTTTATCAATTCTTATGAGCCCATGCCCTTTAAGTTACTATATTTTAGCTCATGCTAAATACGGGGCCAGAGATTCTGTTCCTCTTCTGTGTTCCTCTTGGGAACCCTGCACAGCCCTCTCCATTGTGTCGCTGCCCATAAGCCCTTTAAATAATATAATACCAAATACTAAATGGATGGGGAATTTACCAATTTTAAACAACAGCAAGTCTTTTTCAAATACAACTGGATTTCATACAACTGGAGTTTTCAAGTATGAAAATAGAATTGTAAGACATGTTTTAAGTGGGCTGGAGAAAGAATGGAATAAACAAGCTATTCTTGAAGTTACATGTGAGTCAGACCACAAAATGTTGTTCTGTGTGTGACTTTTTTACAAAAGGTAGAAAGGAACACTTCAGGGAGGAAAATAACACTTCTCTGCAAATGAGTGGTCACTGAGAGAGAGAAGAAAAAAATAGAACTCGTCCAAAATGTTGTTGCTCCAGTTTAATCCATTTTTCGAAATATTGATTCACATAAATGGTTTAAATTTTAGTATCGTGCTTAAAATTGAGGACCACATTATAAAAGATAAAATTAGGGCTCTCTATTAAAACGAGTCATGTTAGCAGTGCTGAGGAAGCTAGGCTTCCAATCTCAGGAAACTTGGGGTACGGTCCACCACTTACAACACGCAACCATATTTAAAAATCTGTTGATGAGTTAACATTGTATTTAGAAAGGAGCCAATACAGTTTACAACGTTATTACTTTTTATAGTATACTGTTCTCTTTTTTTCCTGTTTTCCTTTCTGAAATCTCTGATAAATTTATTTGGTTGCTGTCAGCTTCCTTCCTTCCTTCCTGCCTTCCTTCCTTCCTTCCTTCCTTCCTTCCTTCCTTCCTTTCTTCCTTTCTTCCATGGCATCTTAATTACTAATTTTTAAATATTCAAGTTTAAAATATCCAAAACTGCACTGGTTGGTCTCTGCCAAATTTATTTCTGATTTTCCTGTTTTCATTAATGGTACCAATGGGATCTCAAGTCACCCAGGGTCCGAAGTTTATAATCACCTTTTCTCTCCAGTTGCCCCTTATATTCCTTTAACTCGACCAATTAAAAGTCTCCAACAGCTTCCACTGCGCTTAGTTTTAAATCCGCTCTCTTTACCCCAGCCGACATAACCCTGTGTGACCCAGCCCCTGCCTACCTCTGCATTCTCGTCTCCCACTGTTCCTCACCCAGTTCTGATTTTCTTTCCACTTCCTGAGTCTGCCAACCTTGTTTCCACCTCAGAGCCTTCGTCCCTGTGCTCTTCCTGCCTAGAACCCCCTCATGACCTTGTTTCATATTTTCATAACACTTCGCATTTACTGAAAACCTTTTTCATTTGTTGGCCCATTTATTGCCTCCCCTGCCAGGACACTTTCTGAAACAGGGACCATCTGCCTTGCTCACTCCTGTATCCCCAGCACCTACAAGCGGGCCCAACAGAGAACGTGCTTGATAGACAGTTGTTGAATATATGAGTTAGAGTTAGTCACCACATCCTATCATTTCTACCCTTTCGCGGTTCTCACAATGTTCTTCTCCTTTCTATCTCGTCATCACGATAGCCCAATTATGTTCAATAGAACATGAGCCTCAAATGCAAGTCACTTGTATAATTTTAAATTCCCTAACAGCCATATTAAAAAGCAACAATGCACGTGTGAAATTAATTTTTAATAATATATTTTATTATTCAAACTAGCTCCAAAATACTGTCATTTCAACATGTAATCAATATAAAAAATTATCAAAGAGATAGCTTAAGTCATCAAATTTGGTGTGCTATTTTATTCTACAGCACACCTCAATTCAGGCTAGCCAGGTTTCAACTGCTCAGTAAGCACATATAGCTCTTGGCTTTCATGTCGGCCAGAGCGGCGCTAGCCAATGTCCCCTTTATTTCTCACCTAGACGGTAGCAGCAAACCTTCTAAGTGCTCCTTCCTTCTGCTTATTCCCACTTCAGTTTCTCTTTTAGAGCCATGTCAGATTAATCTCCAAATACACAGCTCTTGAATCATATGCCGCATCTAAAATCCCTAGGGTGGGGGTGGGAAGGGCTGCTCATCACCTCGCAAAGCCCAGACCTTACAGCTGGTAGCGAGCATCCTCTCTGACCTTCAAGCTGTGTCTGACGGTACTCCTCCCCAGTACCGTTTCACCTTTCCCCACACAATTCCGTCCCCAGGTTGCTGCTCATGGCACCCCACCTGGAATACCTGGCCCCTTCCATCTTCCTGTGCTGTCCTTTCCTGCCACAATCCTACACTATCCAGGGGCCATCCCATAAAACCTACCCTGGCAACTCTAATCTCTGAATAACCAGAATACTTCGTGCCATGCAACTTTTACAATATTTTGACACTGCTTCATATTGTAGCTATTTTAAATACCTTATCTCTCCCATGAGATAAAGTTTTCAAAAATGTAAATGCTTTGTCTTAATTTTATTTTCACATAACAGTATGCTTTCTATGTTGAAGGTATCTTAAGAAATGTTTCCTGAATGAATAATACAAATTTCTGAAGGAATTTCCATTGAAATTATCAAACTTTATATCAGACTTTTTCATGAAGTTGATTAAAAACACCAAGAGGGCAGTTTTAAAAACCTCTGGGCTTTCATCCAAGGGGACAAACCGAGAGAAGAAATGTAACATGGCCTCCTTTTTATTCCCTGTCCCCCTCTCTGCTATGTACTACACTACTGCAGTTCCCCAGAAAAATGCAAAAGAAAAAAATTTTCTATAATTATTTCTTAGAAAATCTCAGATATAGTCTAATTTGAGAGATAATAAATCAACTAGAATGATCTTTCTTTTGGTCTGTAGAATTGGTGTACAAAAGCATAGTTTAGATTATGTAATTTTATGCTCCCCAAATTTTAATTTCCTCTTTATTGTGGAAAAAAAGAACCCCACAAGAAGTGAAACAAAACAGTTTTCTTATCTGAGCCTTTCACAAGTCTCAGGTTGAGTACCAGGGAATGTCATGTGGTTGACCACTGGTCCTGGCATTGCTCCTGTTGAGCAGAGTATTTTCTCCTCACATTTCCATTTCTAAGATCATATCTGTTGGATTGTCTGAGCCATCACAAGCACATGCAAATAGAAATTATTTTTGCCCTTGCACTACAGGGGTCAACGTGATAAATTGCAGAATATTAGCATCTTAGATTACTTTCTTAGGTAGGCATTCCAGTTGCATACATACCCCTGGGCCATTTTCTCCAGGTTCCCCTTTTTGAGCATCACCCTGTGACAAACAAAAAACTCAGTCAGATTCCACAGCCCTGAAGAGGGACTGATTGCTCAATCAAATGCATTCTTCAGAATTTCCAGATTAATACATTAACCCAATGGGGAAATCTCTCTGGCCTTTCCCACTGGCATTTTCACCACGCAGTCTAGGGAAGAGAATAGCCATTCAGATAGCCCTTTGGCATGAAGCCAGATGTAGAGGGTGCAGGACCCAGGTACATTTTCATAGCTTGGGCCTGTCTTGCATCGCAGGTTAATAACACGGCCGTTGTTCTCAGATACAGCATTGTACCCACTGGGAGTCAGCCACTCTGGCTTTCCTCCAAAGGGCTTTGGAATGTTTTCCAAAATGTCCTGGAGAGTGATTGCTTGATTTCGGCAAGACTTAGGAAAATATATTATGTGGCACAAAATTACAAGCCAAGTAAGTGAAATGTGAACATCGACTTAAAGCAGGTAGTTAACAAAACGAATCATGATGGAATGAATTCGGGTTCACATAAAGTGAGTGAGGATAGAGGGGTGTGTGTGTGTGTGTGTGTGTGTGTGTGTGTGTGTGTGTGTGTGTGGTAAAGCCATCCAAGGATATTTTATATTCACTTTCTTTGACAAGCAGGCAACTGACAAAAATACCTTCATGCATCTAACATTATATTTTTAGTTACTTCCCTAAACATATTCTCAGAAACAAATTATTGGGTTAAAATTTTGAATTTTTGAATGCCTCTTATGTAGTACCTAATTGCTTTCCAAAATGTTTGTGCCAAGTTACCTTAGCAATGAAGAGCAAACCAGTTTCACCATATTGCTATAATTAGTAATTATTATTTTAATATTGCTGTGTTAACTACTATAAAAAAAGACATGTTTTTAAAAATTGGAATTACAGAAAAAAAGTATGTGAACGATAAAATTGCTTCTGTCCCGCCCCCTTCCCCCAAAAAGAACCAACCTAACAATTCTGGACTCCAAAGTTTCTACAATGTGAATAGTCAGTATTAAAGGGCACCTCATTATTTCTATTTAAATGTCATTCATTATCTAGTGAAATTAAATATTTTTCTATTTCTTTATTTACCGGTTTTATTTCCTCTCTTGAAAACTGTTTGTGTTTTGACCATTTAATTATTAGAGGCTTGATATTTTCTCATCCATTTTACTAAGTCTTTCTGTACTGTAGAAATTAACCCCATGTCCATTGTATTTGATGCAAAATTTCCCTATATGTTTTTCCTCTTTATTGTAATTATTTTCCATTATACAGAATTTGCCTTAAATTTTCACATAGTTATATCTGCTCATCTCTGTCTTATGATTCCTCCAGTCACAATTGCATTTGGTACACCATCGTCCCAGCATCGATCTGAACATGTAATTAAAAAAATTAGCCTAGAATTGTTTTGATAGTTACACACAGAAAAGAAGTGGAGAAATGACTGATGATCATCTGGGAGTGAAAGACAATTTTTTTTTCCGTTATTATTGTAGGTCAGTTATCCATACACTAGATCCATAAAAAACATAAGTGCCTACGTATGTCAATTTAATATGGAACATGTCTTAATAATTCATGGAACATTGTGCTAATTAATTTGGGACACCATTATTTAATTACAAGTTTCTATTTATTGGGTCCCCAGGTTTCCAAAAGGTATAGACTAAAATGGTCATGTTACTCAGAATTTGTAAGCGCAAGCTAACAAAAGCCAAGATAGGTAATATAGGAAGCGAACATCTTGTATTCTTTGCAGAAATTATCAGGTTTTTGGCATTGACATATACTACAAAGCTCTTTTTTTTCTTAATTTTTGTTCTTTATAAATCTAGAAGACAATACACAGGTTTAAAGGAAAACTGTTTATTCATTTACCGGGTTTCCTTTTGGTCCTCGCTCACCTTTGATACCGGGGTTTCCATGGGTACCCTGAAGGCAAAGGGAAGAAAGATTGTATTGAGCAGCCATTCTGTTAGTTTACTACTCCTTACGATAATTTCTGTTCAGCTTCATCCCATAGAATGAGGTAAGATTGGAAAAAAATCTTTACCTACCAAACAGAGAGTCGAGTCTATTCTCTCCTTCACTACACACCAGGAAGGTTACACCGTGTTGAAAAGGCAGTTTCTCTAGATTTGCTCAAAAGAGGATAATGTCCTCTCTTCCTGATCTCCAAGGGACAATCTCAAAAGATAGAAGAACAGAGTTCTCCAAGTCCTGTTCCAGAAAGGTGTCTTATTTTCCTATTCTCAAACCACCGAAAAGCTTACTTTTTTGAGAACTGGTTTTGGAGCCATCCAATAAATGTTAAATAACATAGTTCCATGGATATCCTTATTAAAACATGGTACAATCTCCCCTGACAGTATTGATGGACTGAACCTGTCAGATTAGCGCAGCAATTGCAAGTTTTCTTACTTTCATTCAAAAACGTAATTGAATATCTCAAGTAAACCTTCCACTGGTCATCCCTTGGTATAATAAGTATAAACCAAGACTTTATAAAAGGGGCCTATAAACCTTGCTTTGGCTACAGTCAGTTTTTACTGGTTGCCACACTATCATGTAATGTGTCTAACTTTGTATTTTGAAGAAAAAAGACAAACACACATTCTCACTTTCTACTGCCTTGATAGGTAGGGAGGTTTGAAAAAAATATAGGTTTTGGACTCCAGTCTTAATGTAAAATGTGTCATAGTCTAAGAAGTTCAGAATACCCATTTTCCTCCCCAACCCCCAAATGCAAGCATTAGTTCATAAAATGTATCCATGCATTTTTGTGAAATATCCCCACTGGGCTTCTGAACTTTACGATTTGGAATCACATAAATAAATGGAATACTGAATGAGCCCATGGACGCTTCTGATGATCTGGTGTTAGAGAAATGTTCAGCTTCTCCAGTCATTATGATGTCACTTCAAATGCCTTCCTAGGACAGACATGGCACCTACCAGTTATTAGGCCAATATGTAAAGAAAGCACTCCTATTGGGATTATTTTATGAAGTATGGAATCATCAGAGTAAACCCTGCCATTCCCCTTTAGTTGCCAAGTGGTTACTTCCATGTCATAGAATTCACTCTAATCCCCATGGCATCCTGACCGGAGCTTTCTCCACACAGGGCCGTACAGTGTTGCCCGTGGATACATGTAAAGACACAATTACCTTCCAGAGACATCTGTGTTACTTACTTCTAGGTGGAGCGAATAAAGCTTTGCCTAAAGCACTGAGGATTTGGATGCCCTCTTTCTGTATTTTCACTTCAGTATTGAGAAATTCTGGCCTCAGTTGTCACATAAGAAGTGATGCTGCAATATCCTTTGTGGGAACAACATCATTTTAAACCAAGTCTGCCCTTAGTTCAGGTCAGTAAAATCCCAGGCTTATGTCTAAGGACAGAATGTATCCCTTTAGAAATAAAAGAGAAAAAGAGCTTTTCCTTCTTTTTGCTGCTATTTGCACACAATGGCTTTTCGACAGCACGAAATAGCCCTGCAGTTTTCAAGAGTGAGTAGCGTGATCATCACCAGGACTTCTCGAACTTGACCCTGAGTTCAGAGGAGAAATATACTCACGGGAGGCCCAGGATCGCCGGGATCACCCTTCTCGCATTCACACATCTTGTGTTCACACTGAATCAATAACAAAATACAACTTGAACACACAGTGAAAGACAACATTCAAATCTTATTTGGTACAGCACTAAACGGAGCATTCCCTTGAAGAAATTTTACATTGCAAGTTTATGGAGATTTTGTTCTCCCTATTAAATTCTTCTAGGAAAACTCAGATCTAATAACATTAAATATAGTAGTATTAAATGTTGTCATGGTTAAATAAAACAGACTAGATAGATAGATAGATATAGAGATAGAGATAGATATAGAGATAGATATAGAGATATGTAGATATCATCTAGTTGCTAAAGGCGAAAATAAACATTTTCAGTGGACTCTTAGAACTTCTGCTGTTTCTCTCTTATACAATACATCAAAGCTCAATAATATGCAAATATCAAATATTCCTTTACTCAGCAAAAGAAAACATTTGACTTATAACATATTTTATCACTTCTAACAAGCACATTTATCCTTATTTTAACTCTGAAATCAGAGTGAGCCCAGTCATGATGAAGTTGCTATTTTCTGCAATTCACTTCAAAATTTACAGAATGAAATGGAAGAACACTCCAGAGGCACTACTGGAGCACTCTTAAGAAATGCTGCATCACCAATACTTTTGATGGCACAAAGGCCGGTACTTTATGGTAAAACAAATGCATCAATGACTGAGACAAAAAAAGTGCTTCAGAAGATTTAGACTCTGACTGTGAAGAAGTTTGAGAAATAACCAGTTTAGTTTGCTTATATTTTCTCTTATATGCAAGTCCAAAAGTGATACAGGATCTAAAAATCTATTTCTAAATAAATCTAAAATGGTTCTTTACATAAGTCTGAAATGAAAAATTGTAATTGATAAGAAGGCTCTGCATTGTAGTTTAATTGGCAGAGTTTTTTCCTGTCTTAATGGCACATAAAATAATAGTGTATCTGACCTTGTAGAAGTCAATGAAATGCTGTGCTCGACAAGTTTTGTTTGGCTTCTATTATTTTACGTAACACTACTTGTAAATTTTCTGATGTTAAATAAGCAGCTTATCCAACTAAGTTCAGATGTTCCAAACTCCTTGTGCTAAGAAATGCATATTCAGTGTAGGAGTCCTCAGCAAGCTGGTCATTTACCTATTGTGCTACGTAATATCCAGTCCAACCCATGTTGGCCAGCTCCTTGGCCACTTGGTCAGCTTGCCACCAGCCATCAGAAAGAATGAGCTTAAAGTCAACCAGCAGGCAGCAGGGGGCGACTCTGAGCTCTGCCTTTTAGCCAGGAACGCTCTGCCTAACTCTGGCCAACACTGGGAACACTTCCCAAAGTGGAGGACCTCCCCCATCCTCACCTCTGCCCACCACCAGTAGCTGGTGTCAGAGACATGCTTAGAATAAAGGAAGTCACATCAAAATAAGCAAAAACTACACCATTTGGTTAGTAATAATTTCTAAAGTCAGTCTCTAAAATCCCATGACATTTTTCTAATTTTTCCAACCTGCAGTGGATATGGTGGCCTAAAAGAAGAAATCAGATGGCTGCCTAGGAATAAAGTGGCTCTTTTTAAAAATAGCTAAGCCTTTTTATTTAGTCATACCTTACCTACTAATGTGAATTATAATGCTGACTTGATAATGCAAGCTTTTAGAGTATTCATAGTAATCAAGGCATGTGGTACTTACCTTTTTATCAAATAAGATATCCTAGAAGGGAAAAAAGAATGAAACATTAACTGAATTCATGGTTCTGCTTCAAACTTCTTATTAATCTTAATTATTCCCTATGGAATATGCAGTTTCTAAGAAGAATAGCAATTCAGCCTTTCTAACCTTGCGAAGCAATAAAGCCAACCAGCCAAGGAATACTCTGAGCCTTACAATAATAGGTGACATGAAGGGCACTAACATTAAAAGTTATTCTGTTTTCTAGGAACTTTACTCTGTTGTAGCCTATGCTTATCTCTTATTTCTTTTATCAGCTCTATAATCTCCATAATTTGGCTATAAGCTTAAATCAGTCATAATGAGAAATTTCTTACTTTTACATACAAGGACTTAGGCAGAATATATAATTGTGTATTGCCTTGTCTTTTATTTTTCTATCCCTATATATACGAGGTCTGACAATTACATTCGCAAACTCATCCTAGAAAAAATACCTCATTGCTAAATATCACTATGGTCACCTTCAAGGTACTCACTCCTCTTGGGAAGCTATGTACCAATACCTGCACCTAGTCCACCCTTCAAAGCAATTTTGGAACTCTTTTTCTGGAAGGGCTATCAGAGCTGTTGTCATATTACCCTTGATGTCTTGAGTATCATCAAAATGTATTCCTTTCAATATTTCCTTTATCTTTGGGTCAAGAAAGAAGTCATTGGAAGTCAGATCAGATGAGCCGGGAGGGTGTTCCAATATAGTTATTTGTTTACTGGCTAAAAACTCCCACACAGACAGTGCCGTGTGAGCTGGTGCATTGTTGTGATGCCAGAGCCATGAATAGTTGGTCAAAAGTTCAGGTCATCTAACTTTTTCATGCAGCCTTTTCAGCAATTTCAAATAGTAAACTTGGTTAGCTGTTTATCCAGTTGGCACAAATTCACAGTGAATAATCTCTCTGATATCAAAAAAGGTTAGCAACATGGTTGCAACAAGTTCGGGAACTTAATTGTCAGACCTCATATATGCATTTGTTTGGGGCATTAAAACATTAATTTTATGGTCATAACTTCATCAACGGTAATGAGCCGTAGAAGTCAGTCAGGTTGAACCTCTCACTTTGCAATAAGGAAACTTGGGTCCGAAGAGCTGTGACTTGTCCAAGGTCACACACTTGGGCTGAACCACCTGACCAACTTCAGTGGTACTTCATACTTACCCACACAGAAATGAATTAGCAAGAATATATCTCAAAACTGCTTTAAATTCCTAATTTTAGAGAAACTCATGGTCTGGTTTTTGTCTAACAACTAGGCCTCACTACCCTACTGCAGTTCAGTGGGTATCATTTGACAAGTGCACTGAAGACCATGTCTAAGGTCAAACACTGGAAAATAATTAACCCGTGTTTACAGATAGAACTATTGCTTTCTCAAAGTAGACATTATGTGTCAGCGTAATGCCTATGACTGAATCTGAAGGGGTAATTTATACATAATCAAATGGAAAACTGAAGTAAAAAGCACTAGAATATTTGTTGCCAGATATTAGAAATGAAGGATGTAATGAGGAAGTTAGAGTCAGAGTTGTACCTTTATGAAGGACTCTGCATCCTTTTAGTTTTGTTTTTACTTTATCTTTATTTCCATACTCACTAATAATATAGAGGGAAGATATAGCAAAATGCTTTAAGTGGCTCCATTTAATGGGAGGGAAAGTGAGGCTGGGAACTGTCATCCAGGGTTTTCATTCTGTTTCCGCCATTTACTACGCATGTTGTCTTGGGCAAGTCATATAATCCTCCCAGGTCATTTTCCACATATATAAAATGAGAAAGTTTGACCACAGAGTCTTGGGAGCTGTAAAACTCTGTTCAGAGACCCTATCTACAAAATTCAGGGTTCCACCTGTGGTCCTCTTCCCCCTTCCTTCACCCCAATGATTTTTGATTACTGGCCAATGTAAATCCAGGCTGAAAGCAGATGAGGTGCTTGTTTCTTTAAGAACTAGTAGGTCAAGAGGAGAAATAGGAGCTCAGACACGCTGACAGTTTCCGTGTAAAATGGCATTACGCTTCTCTTTGGCTGTGCCTAGAAAGCTGAAGGTGTGCATGTTTTATCTCTGGGCTGTCCAGGACAAGTCCCTGTTTCCACCTGTTATCCTGGCAACCCTTCCAGACATACTCTGGAGGAATTCTTGTACGTTTCAGCATTTGTTGTTTTTAATAGTGAAGAATTGGAAATAATTAAAATATCCATCAATGCTGTAATGGATCAATAAATGAAATACTATTCAGCAGCTAAAGTGAATGCACTGAATCTACATATTTCAACATAGAAAAATTTCCAAAAACATTGAGTGAAAAAGCAGTGTGATCCAAATTATGAAAATATTTAAAATATGTATCAGATGCTTGGTTTCTTCTGGGAGGGGGAGAGGGAAGAGGAATTCAAAAGGAGTTCAAGAGAGACAATCAAACAACTAATAATACAAGTCAAATTGTAATATTTGAGAACAACTACTGAAATAAAGAAAAATGTAAAGTTTTGTCACTTTATAATCTTTTTAATAATAAGCAATATTCTTATCAATTTTAAACTCATGAATTCAGCTGCTACTGTGCCTGATGTATAATTTTACACTTTTTTAGCTCTTCCTTTAAAAATTGTTTAAAAAAAAAATTCAATTTTCGCTCTCCCGTATCACTCCTTTAAAATATATGCCATGAGGATTAAAACCATAACAACACAACTAACTAATTATTTTTGGAGCTCATTTGTTTTCGTGTTTGTTGGAATTTATATTTCTATGGAAACAAAAATGGACCCAAAACTGCACAATAGATAAGACTGTTTTGAACAATGAACAAAGCTTCATCCCTAAGGGCTCTTATAGCCTATAAGCCCCAGTGACAGAAAACAGACAGCACACAGTAAGCAGCGTGGGAAGGACGTCCTAGATTGGGGGAGGAGGGGACACAACAAGATGGTTTCTCGGAATAGGTGGGTTTTCTGGATAATTTTGAAGAGAGGAATGCAAAGGACCAACTCATTGATGGAATGCTGTTCTATATGTCAAAGTTTATGAGGAAAAAAGTCATAAAGACTCATGTGGGCAATGAGACAAAGGAAACCGTGAAGAGGAACATTTTCAAAGAGTGTGTGCAAAGGCCCCCATGGACAGAGTTGGGGCCTTTGGAAGTAGTGAGACCTTTCTCTTAGGCTGAGAGGCAAGATGTGTGGAGAAGAGCTGGGAGAACATGGTCAAAGCCAGTGGGGAGCTCATGTTCAATTAAGGCCTAGGTGGATAATGTATTTTAAATGAAGAGGATAGAGAAAGGCCTTCAGAAGGAAAGTGCACTTTATTAATGGAGTCAGGGTTTTGTGATGGCATATATGTGAAAGGAGAAGGCTAGAATGGAATTGTCAATTTTGTGAATGACTGTGATTAGGTCAATGCTGTGAGAAGGGGACAGAGGAAATGTGAAGAAAGTACCAAAGTTACAACATGACAGAAAATGCAATGTGAATAAAGAACTTTCTAGGCTAGGTTTACCAACTATATGACAAAAATATTTCCAGCTTAATATAGTGGCAAAATAGCCACCATAAAATCTTAAACAAAGAACAGAAATAAGTTTCTAAACAGAGGAAGCCTTGGATAACTGGGAAGTGGACTGTAATTAATAAATTAATAAAGCATAGGATTCTAAAGATGATATAGCAAGTGTCAAATTGATTCCTTTTGGTATGTGAGGGAGGGGATACAATAAACTGATGTTTTTCTTAGTAATTTTCAGAGAAAGAGACCAACTTGTCACAGCCTTTATTCCCATAAAGGCTGTTTAGAATATTTAACATCAATGGTGATACAGAATTTTTTTTTTAATCTTCACGTCTTCTCTCTTGCTCTTCTAAAGGACCAAGTAATACATGCAGAAGATTGGGTTGAATTTGTTCCTTAGGTTTCAATACTGAAATCATAATAGAATATATTTTTCAATTTAGAATCATCAGGTCTCCCTTGGATGATTCAGAACGGATAAGTTTTCATGGGGTTCTTTTCTGGTACTTCCTCCTAGATAGAGATGCCAAGGAGTGTGCAGTGATTCCTTGACTTGTCTTGGCTCCTGCAAAACCTGGTCATGGTGGACACTCATGTCCATAAATTCAACTAAAGTCTAGTCTGCAATGAAAAGGAATAAAGTGCTGATACAGAAAAACAACCCAGATGAATTTTAAAATCATTATTCTGGGACTACGAAGCCTGACACAAAAAGGGTATGAGTTTATTTATGTAAAATTCTAGAGTGTGTACACGAGAGGAGTCAGATCAGTAGGAGCTCAGGGGTAAGGGGAGGATGTATTGCAAAGAGGCAATAGGACATTTTGGGGGTTGATAGAAATGTTCTGTATGCGACTCATGTTGGTGGTTTCATGGGCGTATACATTTGTCAAAACTCATGGAATTGTGCACTTTAAGGAGATGCAGTTTTGTACTAAAATTTTACCTAATTAATTGATTTTGTTAAAGTCAACTACATAATTATTTCAAAGTAAAACGCTGAAAAATTCAACTAATGATATAATAGACATAGATTTGATGAGAAATTTTTCCAATGGTCTGATGAAAAGTCAAGTTCTGCCTACTAGACGGTGGCAACTTGAAACATTAAACCTTGGTGTATCTTTCCTTAAAGAGCCTAATAAGCCCTTTGGATAGGGGAAGTGTTTGGAGAGCAGCAACTCCTTCTAAGAAGTGGCTATTCACAGAGCTTCCATCTGAACAAACAAGCTGAAACCACAGGATGCTAAGGAAGCTCAGAGCCATTAGGACACTTGGTCAGTTTTTGGTTTCCCCAGAAACGAACAAACAGTCCTGCTTCAAGTCTACCGCCAAGAGCCTGTGTTCTCAGTTGGGCAGGAGCTCTGAGTGAGGGTGTGTCTGGAGGGAGAATGAACCTCCTGAGTCTACACATCTGGCCAAACAAGAGTGCTTCCTGTCCTGCATCTTCTACAGTTAGCAACAGGCATCTCATTATCACACCCCCAGGGTTCTCTCCTGCACATGCTGGAACCTTCTGTTTTCAGTTCAGTGGTGAGGACTCAAATTATGGCACAGGCAGGACTAGGCAGCTAGCCAGGCACCTGCACGCTTCCCTTCCATGCAGAGGAGATGCTCAGAGTGAGATTTTGCCACAACCTACCATCTCCCCTCTCAATATGACTTTACAGGGTTAAGCACGCAGACTCTGGGGTCCCTGCCTGGCCTTCAATTTCCAGCTATAAAATGATGATAATAACAGTATCTACATCACAAGGCTGTTGTAAACATTAAATAAAATATATAAATTGCTCAAAACAATGCGTAATACAGAGAACACTCAAGACATGATTACTATTTAAGATCAGAAAAACTCAGTGTCTCATGCTGAAAACAACTTAGTAAAAAAATAAGAGTAACGTTAGGGACACGGATTGAGGAAAGGCCAAGAGGGGCAAAACAATTTCTGAAATGGAACTTGATGTTTTTTTTCAGCCTAGAGCAAATAGCCCTATGAAATGTTCAGCTCCAAAAGGACACATTTGTCTTGCTGTCTTCTCAAGAAACCAAAGAAAAATCAATACTTTTAAGAAAATCAATTTTTTAACACTTAATAAATCAACCACTTTTTCTCCCAGGAGTTTTTCTCCTTGAGAAATATTGCGAAGAGGGGTTTCGTTTTGATTTCTTTGTCTTGTGTTTTCCCAAGCAGCAAGGAAAGGCTCTCACACAAAGCTAAGCAACCAATAAAGAAAAGCGTTGAGACAGTTAATTGGACCAATCAAGTGGGGCTCATTGATCTGACGGAGAAACTGTTGGGTGACTGCGTGTTGTAGGTTATTTTACATTGGGTGGCCTTGTTAATGCCTAAAAAACAAGAAGATAATTTTTTAAAAATTTGAAGTCTATGAACTCTGCTTGAGCATAATATGGCAATAGGTGAGACAAAGTCAAAAAAATATTTCTGCACATGGGGAATGGAAAAGACCAACTTTGCACAAATATATCATATCACAAGTTGACCACAAATTAAGTGTAAGTCAGCAGTGTTCAATGATTCCAGGATGTATAAACAGGAGTCTGAGGTGTATTATTGGAAATTAATCCTTCCCAAATCCTTAGCATTGACTAGCAATAAAGTTAGGAGTGCAATTCCAGAGAATGAGTCTGGCTCTTCCCAATTTTTTTTTATCAGGTATAAACTATCAAGGAAGTGGAGAGAGACTTCTTAAAACTTCTTTCCATTTCCAAGGTAGAATTTTTTTCTTTCATCTTTTGGACCCAGTATCTATCCTTACAGAATTTATAACCAAGATATCAATATTATAATGACAAATATTTATATATATATAAAACCAATGCATTAGTTACCTACCAGTCGATCCTGAATTTTATCTACAAGGGCTGGATCACTCAACAGTAGAATGGGTTCACTGGATGAATCCCCAGATATCAAACGAAGTTTGGCTTCATTGACTACAGTAGAAAGTCCAATGGTAATAAACAATATTCCTGCAGTTCTGGCATCTTCAGAAATACTTTGAACATCTGGATTCTTTGGATGGTCAATGCCATCAGTCATCAACAAAGCCACTTTCACACCATCTTTACGTCCTTCTTTCTTAAGTAGCCTAGTGGCATTGGAGATGGCATAATATGAGAAAGTACCTTGCCCAATGAAATTCATAGCCTTGACCCTCCGTTTAAAAGTCTGTAGATCTCTCCACGAAGAAAAAGGTGGATCAATTTGGACAGAGCTGCTAAACTGAAGGGCTGCCAATTTGATGTCATATTTCAAGGAGCGAGCCGGGGTCAATTGGAAAACCTTGTCACTCAAGCTATCCACAAAATCTTTCTGTTTATCAAAGAGAATAATTTTAGAACTTTCAGAGCTGTCCACGATGAAGACAATATCTATGAAGCAAGTGGAGTCTGAAATAGAACAAATTGGTTAGGCAAAATACTTATCTCTACTAGTGAAACAATTTTGCATAAGAAAAGCCCTGAGGTGAGAGGCATGCTGTGTATTGTTTGTTTCTGAGAGGAGAGGGAAGTGAAAAAGAGGCGCCTTGTAGACAGGGCTTAAGGGGGAAAGAACTAAATCTCTTTCCAAGTCTGTAGATTCTCTTCCTCTTATAAATCATGCAAACCAAAAGCAATAATAAACAAAATACCGTATATTCTGAGCATCTCCCCAAAGTGAAACCTGCTTAAAATGGGAGGAGGAAAGGAATGCATCGTAGTTTAAAAATTAAACAAACGTTGGGCAAGGTGGTCTAGAACTAAATAACACTCGACCTATTTCTCAAGTTTGCGTCATGTGGGTGAGGCCCCGTCTTGTTTTGGTGTTTTGTGTTTTTCTAAACTTTTTGAAATCAAGGGAGAAAATAACTATACACATCGCCTTGTAGCAACAGCAAGAGAGAAAGAAACATAAAAGGAGGGAGCTTAAGACTGAATATTAGATCTGTATCTTACTAGCTAAATTGCCTGTGGCTTTCAGTGTGCTACTTAACCTCTATGGGCCTCAATTTATCTGTAATATGAAAGTGGCACTCTGTCATGCCTATTTTATGTGGTTACTGTGAAGCGTAAATGAAATAAATGTGTATATGCTCTAAAAATGGATGTTTTCATAAGTATTATCTATAAGTATGTAAGGTGTATTGTTATTATATAATTATATTAAAGTAGAAAGTCACATATATACATATATGTGGTTTGCTCTTCACATCAAAGGCTTATTTGGAAATATTTATATTACTAGTGTTTTAACAGGCTAAAACTAATCATTAAAAACAAAAACAAAACAATTTTTTTTTTTACCCTGGAAATCATTTTTCCTTGCAAGTAAATTGGACTTGGATCCTTTCTTCCTTTGTCCATATATTGTTTGACTCATAAAAGCTGGCAAAAGCAGAAGATGAAAGACAAAGTGTCTGTTCCACATTATGGTAGATGGTGAAAAGTCATCTGCCTGGAGCACCTTTAAGAGAAAAATCAGTTATAAGTACTTTAGTAAAATATAACGTTTGCTATTTTTAATTTCAATATAGCAGAATTCAAAGCTGGCATGTGACTGGAGAAAAGAATTTTCATTTATTTTATAGACAAATATCCACATTGAAATTTTAAAAGTTTCTAATCCAAATAAATCATGGCACTACAACCAAACATTTATTAGCGAATGTTTCTATAGATCAGAGAATTACGTCTAAGTAGCCTGAATTTCCAATTTTATAATATTATGGGAAGCAGGGAGTTGGGAGAGCCATTTAAAAGATTTCAGTCCCATGCTATATGGTGACTACGGTTCAATCACAGGCTCTGCTTTGACATTTCCACATGCTTCAGGGTAAATTCCGATTGTTACAGGATTGTTTCATTCGTTTTCATTCTAACTAATTCGTGATGATCCTAATATTTTTACATTATTGTAGAGAACGACTATCATTTCAGCCTTACTATTTACAGGTACAGCTTCAGTGAACTCAGAGGTGAAATAAAAAATTAAGTTGCTTTTCTGTTTCCATAGAACCCCATTTTTCTTTTCTACTGTAATTTTGGAAACTGTATCTCCACCAGAGTTCCAAGCTGGACCACAACTGCATATGCAATGAATCAAAAGAATATGAGAGCAAAAATCATAGATTTGCAAGCAACACTGTTCTTATAGTGTTAGCTGGAAAAACTGATGGACAGAAACAGGACTTGAAATCAGGAAGCACCCCATCTGAACAGCTCTGTGAAACTATTTTACTGGTTAGATTAACAATGAAAAATCCAATCCTGTATTAAAATCTTCAGCTGTCTTCATCACTCAATATGCCCAGCTATACACCAAGTGACTTTTAAAGTCCCACCCTTCTCTGGTAAGAAAAGACTTATGTGTGGCTATCAGCATACCAGAGAATGGGAAGAAGGCTTATTTTGAGCCAATGTTCTGCATGGTTTGGAAATGCTTGCCTGCTTAAAATATATTAAATTCAGAAGTTCTGGAAAAAGAATCACATTTTCCTTCTTTGGCACCTTGCCTTCAGGGAATGGGAACTGGGAAATCATGAGCACGATTTTTCCAGGCTGTGAGTAGGAGATGGAAATATAAGCAAAAAAAAAAGTGAAGAATGAGATGGGTGACTGACTTCTTTCATACATGCCAGATGGAGAAACCCCAAAGGGAAGCAAAGCTGTTGGGCTAGGGATGAACCAATGGATGGCTCCATGCCATAGCCTGCTCCTCAAATAGCATCATTAGCAGGAAGTCTATTAAGCTGACTTTGTATCAGTATGGCTAACCATCTCTGCACCAAGTGCAATTGACCAAATGTCAACTGCTTTTCAGACCAGGTATGCCAAGATAAGCTAAGTGTTAAAAGAAAGAAGGAAAGAAAGGAAGGAAGGAAGGAAGGAAGGAAGGAAGGAAGGAAG